TCATCTGAAGGGCAAGGGTTATCATAAATTACAGCCTTACGCTCTTGACACCTAGTGCGAGTTTTCCGTAAATAATGGAACTGAATACAGCGGTGATCTTCCGGAAAACCTATTATCTGGGTCCGAAGAGATGATAAAGTGTCTGTCTAGTGGAGCATTAGAGACACTGCCAAATTTAGTTACAGAAGTGGCACCTCTTCACAGTTTGAGGCCATGAGTACAGTCCTGACAGGCTGCACAAGTTCTGGCAAGTTCCACAACAATTTGAATAAATCATTACAGCTGGAGACCTACGTGCAGCGCCCCCAAACTGTACACGATCTACGCTCTACCGTAAGTGACGATATCTCGATGGACGATACACGCACGAGACAAAATCAAGCAAGCGACTGGCTGGAGCAAGTCACGTGACCCATACCCGAGCACATGATTGTTTCAACCAGGCTTGTCAGCTTAACAGAAGTTTCATCTAATGGTTATTCCTGCTCGGTGGCATAGTGAGGGAGGGACAATGAGGCCTAAAGATCGGAATGTTCGCGGTCCGAAGCCGAGGATCGCCGTCTGACCTATTTTTGAACCTTCCCTTTAGTGAGTTTTTGCACAAAACACTATCACTAAAATTTTCGCTGATGTATGAATACAGCATCAAGATTATGATTAGATAGTATGAAAGAGAAACTTTCCAGCGTAATAAGTCCTGGATATGCTGTTAATTTTGACTCGAGAAATCCAAAAACCCTAAGGTTGACTACCTGCCAAATATTTATCAAGAAAAGTGGCTTGGCTGGTCACAAAAGGAGTGTGCGAGGACAGAGAGGCCGATAGATGGTGGCTTAGGGCTAGTAAATACGTTTTGTAAAGTTAAGATCACGTGTTTACCCTATAAACTTTATACTGTACATGTCTTACTCAGAGAAGCAGAGATTTGGAAGCAATCCTCCAAATTGTTTCCACTACTTCCTCGCTTCCTTCGACAACTCAACCTTCTTTCAATTTTGCGCTTCAGGCACTTAACTCGGTTTTCTCTTGGTTTGTGCACAAATGCAATTTGAAGGCATGCGCTTTCTATTTTGTGCACAGCTCACTAATCAGAACACTGGCTTGCGCGTGAGTATGTCCGATATCTCATTACGATTAAATACCTTTTCCAACTCGAGATCTTTGATGACCTTGAAGATCTACTCACCTAAGCAAATCATCCATACGAAGGTCAAACCCTTAAAACTTGTGAGCTAAAGATTTGCAAGACCACTGACTTCCTAAATCAAGGAAACTTGGTGACTCCGCAATCAACCCTCATTCCCAGCTGGTAAACAATCATCGGACAATTTAATAGACAATAAGGTGGTCCAAATTTTAGACTGCAACCGAAGCGCAAAAGCCGTAGACTTTTTGCGTGTTAACAACGCTGAGGCAAAGGGTCGAGACACATGTACCCGGGAGCGCTACAATCAAAACCGCCATCTGGAATACATATATGTTTATGACCGTACATACGAACAAAGATAACTTCGGACTAATGGGCCCGACTTCATCGGGCATTTCGCTTTAGCATGCGGATTTGGCCTATGTGTTTATTTCAAACAAAAACATTGACCATCCAAATAAACAGCGGTGCATCAATGTTAAAACTGCAGCCTTTAACCTGGTTTCATCCGGTTTACCGACCTCCTGCACTGGGATTGCATGCTCTCATGAATGCCGCGCGGTTCGTTTTCCTTAGATGGGAGGTTTGAGTTCATTTCAGACAAGAACTCAAAAACAGACTGAATCAATCTGTCATGAGCACACATCCAGATTTCAGTGATTCGAAATCTTTAAAGGTCGAACTGCTGAGTGTTGCCCTTGAAAGATACCTCCGGCTGCCAAGCGGGGGATATTCGTCACAAAAAAGGGATTCCTTTGCATTGAATATGAATTACGGTGTGTGGTGAGGAATTTCGGGTATGCGTTCCTTACAGATTTCTGAAATTTTGTAAACAATCAAATGAGACGTGAGCTTGTGGCATCGTATACACCATTAGGAAACGATTAAAGTCTGTATTGCAGATCTTGCACAAGGCCTCCAGACAACCGGTGGAAAATCGGACAAGCAAACTGGCCACAAGGTGGTTGACAAACCACTTATTTGAATATGCCACCTTCTAGAGAATTGTCTGTATACAAACTGCATAAAGTAAAGGTCTAGCCACTGGTATGCTGGCGGTATTCCTGGGTGCCATTCAGAACGCAGCACTGATTAGTTTAATTTTCCCCGTCTGTGTTTCGTTCTCCCCCGACTTTTAGTGGCTTGCGTCAGTCTGCTCTGATTAATTGAGCGCTGACTGAAACAGGTAAAGTGCTCTGCTTGAAGGATACTACCTTGGGCTTACTTTCACTTGAGCACCTGAAATTACCGGAATGATTATTAGGCGGGATTCTAAAGGTATTTAGGCAACTGTTGCTGAATATTCCTATTTTAACGTGTTGCAGTTTTTTATTCTATCTTGCCCTCTACGACATTGCATTTGATTTTATCGACGACCAGGCACGACAACTGAGGATCGTTTTAAAAGGTACCATATTGTGGGCACACAGCATTTATGGTATTCATCCTGTTGCCTAATGGTGGATAAATTCATTTTTGGCTTTAATAAATTTAAAGCATGAGTGAGCCGGCCGCTGTGAACCCTAAACAAACGTGTCCGGGTAAACTCCACAACTCTGAAAGATGCCTGGGGTATAAATCATTTACGTAAAAAACAAAAAAGCTCAAACATGGTTGTTCGTCGTGTCCGGGCTACCAAACTTGAAGCAAAGTTGCCTGAGATGCGCCCAAAATCTTTGCTTGCTACTAAGAATGGGGTCTTTCTTATTGCACTGCAGTTACATTACAGTCAATCCGGATACAGAGGAGTGGTGTTTAGTGACCGCTATTCACAAGGAAACTTGGGAACAAACAAAAAGTGGGAGGTTTACACCGAGGCGTCCTGGTTTGGTGCTAGCTCTGATGTGGATTTCAAAGCACTATTGTCTTCAGTCACTCTAACCCAATGAAAATGGAAAATTTTCCATGCATGCTATCCGTTTACTTCTGCGAAATACACGCTTGGACAACCCGTTTGGTGCCCGTTCGCATAAAGTATGGTCAAGGCAATTTCATCATGTTTTCGGGTATGGACGGTTTGCATTCAAATGTTTATAGTTTTTAGTTGTGATGACAGAACAACCGAAGCATGAAGCCTTTCGATGATGATTTCAGTGCTCAAAAAATGAACAGGAGTATAGCGCAAAAACGATTGGGGCGACGGCTAGGCATCTTTGAAGGTGGTGACTGGTGTCATTCTGGGGATGATCATCCATTGTGAAACTCACATTTGCAGGAATCAAGCTTAACTCCGCCCCACGCTACAATGCACCAGCCCTACCTTTATTTGCAGACAGTTCTTGCAAATCTTTATCTCCCAAAAGTATGACAATGATCGTTCCTATTGATCTGGAGGTTTTTATCACCCAACCGGTTGCCTGGTCATGACGAGTATTCTTTCTAGTACAGCACGTAACCTTCTATCGGCTTTTACAAATATACCCCGGGTACTTTCCTGAGTTCGACACATCAACGGACGCAAATCGAGGTTGACCACCCTGTTTTCTGCTTCAGCCTTCAGATCTATGAAGCTGCTTTCTCTGTAGCGGTGTATGAAGCCTCAGGGACTGAATGTCCACCGAAAGGTGCGCTAGCGAAATCGCCGTTCCAGGATAAGAAGAACGGAAGCACGAACCACCTCGCTGAACGGGGCGCCATGCACCTGACATCTGGAAAGTTTGACGGTTGGTGGAACGTCGGGGCAAACAAGGCACAGGTTGCGTGTATATTGACGTATCTGTCTCATCAGACACATGCACTAGCCCCGATAGGACAGCGGAAGACAACTTCACTCCCGAGATCAGATGAAGACAAGCAAGCTTTACACACCAGTAACATTTGTGTCGTCATTGTGATATTCGTTCGGCCGTCGAGGTTAAAATGTGCACCGTCACAACGCTCTGGCGAAGACAACTCCTGTGTGGTGATACTTCAACTCCAACGTTCGGCCATCGCGCTGCTAATTTAGCGTTTCATCGCGGCGGGTTGAGGGCCCGGATGACATTGTGTTTTCAAGGATGCAGAGGTAGGGAGATTTAGCGCCGCTGATGGATCGTTGGGCGGCTGCCTTGAAATGGAATGGACTAGTACAAACGATGGTGAGCGTATACGCCGCCGCCTATTGACAAAAATTTTTCTTTCGGTACTCCTTTTTCGGATAATTAAGGATGACCGTTAAAGTGGCGCCCTGTCGTGCGGTAGATTGCCTACGGAGGTCAACCTCATTACCTTTGATTGTAGGAGAAGTGGGTCCTCACCCGTTTTTGGAATACTTAAATGAATTCTGACCAAGTGTATATCCATCCCTGCCTCTCGAGGCTTCGCGAAATCGTCACGCCCCACCAGACCATTGAGTAGCGTCCGGAATCAAAGTTAAGCAAGGTCTAAAAAGCCAACATATAGATACATATAAGGTAACACATCCCATGAATTTGAAGTTTTCTGGGAGATGTGTTCTGCATCATTGCAAGATTCTGAGGTTCTTGCCTGCGGAGCAGTGCAACATGTAGATGCAAGTGTTCAACCGGAACACTCAAGCAGGACCGCATATTGGATTCACAAACGAAGAAACAAGGAACTCCTCGGAGTCAAATCAATAAAAGTCACAACCCGGAACTCGGGAGAAAAAAGGCCACTTCAACATCGACCAGACCACGACGACGAGGGATTCCAAGCTAAAGGGTCACGTGAGCATCGGCGAAAGAGGACACGTGATAAAAGAACAACCAATGGAACCGCCCCACCGAATAACTGATCGCGGTCAAAGGTCACCCCCGGCTACCAGCACGCATATCAACACACACGTGACACTTCTCGACGCGCAACCACTAACCCACCGCTACGCACAACTACGCTCCCTAATAACGCACTGATGATGTCACCTCCAATGGTGATGAAACGTTTGCAATCAAATTGCCCAACTCAGCGAACAAGCCGACGACCATCT